TCCTGTTCTCCCCCCACCCCTCCCCCTGCTCTGGTGTTTCTCTCTAGAAAACAAACAAACATTAAAAAAAAAAAAAAAAAAAGACAGGAACCTGACTTACTGTTGGGTCCCCACCATTAAACAAGTGCGCCAGAACATGACACACGCTTGCTGGCCCCACTGGCCAACAATCAGGAAGTGAGTGACCAGGGGAAAACTCAGTGTTGTCTCCTGCGTGTGTCCCTTACTGGTAATGCACACAGAACACTTCTGGTCACCACGTGTGAGGGGTTTTCCCCCAGTTGGGTGTCCTACAATTTAATTTAACTCATTTCTGTCACTACGGCACACTGTACATGCCGGAGACAAATCCAGGCTGTCACCTATGCTTCTGACCAATGGGCCATAGAAATCAGAGGTTCCCATGACCCTTCCCCCACAGATTGTTAATTTGCTAAAGCAGCTTACAGAACTCAGGGAAACACTCACGCATATTTGCCAGTTTATTAATGGATACAGCTGGACAACCAGGTGAGAAGATAGGTAAGATCTGGGAACCAGCCCAGGAACTTCTGTCCCCATGGAGCTGGGGTGTGTTACCCTCCTGGTGTGAATGTGTTCACCAACCAGGGAGCTCCCCAAGCCCCCGACAAGGATTTTTATGGAGGCTTCTCACATAGGTCTGATCAATTATTTACTCCATTTCCAGCCCCTCTCCCCTCTCTAGAGAAGTGGGGAGAATTAGCAGAAAATTCCAACCTTCTAATCAGCTCAGTCTTTCTGGTGACCGCCCTCAATCTAGGAGCCACCCAGGAGCCCACCCAGAGTTCCCTCACTAGAACAACCACGGTCCTTGTGGCCTTACCACTCAGGGATCTACCAGGGTTTTAAGAGCCCTATGTTAAGTTTGGGGTCAAAGATGAAATACTCATGTTCCTTGTATTCTTACCACTTAGAAAATTACAAATGTTCTAGGAGTTCTGTGCCAGGAACTGGGTGCAGAAACCAACATATAAATAGTTTCTATTATCGCACACCGAGATGGAAGACTAAGCTGTCCTTACCGGGAAGGTCACACAGAAGTATCAGCAGCATGGAAACATGCTACGACCTGAGTTTAATGACAAAAGCAACATACTAACTTGAATGATATATATAAAAAAGCACTCCGCAAGGATTAAATGTTAGCAGTAGTTGTCTCAAGGTCGATTTATAGGTAACTTCTTTCCTTGCCTCTTTATATTTCTCTTTACTTTCCCCAAATTTCCATAATGAACACATAATGTTTTTATGATCAGGGATAAAGAAGTCAAATATTCAATTTTTTTTAAAAGATTTTATTTATTTATTTGACAGACAGAGATCACAAGTAGGCAGAGAGGCAGGCAGAGAGAGAGAGAGAGGAGGAAGCAGGCTCCCCGCTGAGCAGAGAGCCCGATGCGGGGCTCAATCCCAGGACCCTGGGATCATGACCCGAGCCGAAGGCAGAGGCTTTAACCCATTGAGCCACCCAGGCGCCCCCAATGTTTGTTTTTTAATCTGCAAATTGTGGGCCACGCGGACACCCTGATGTCTAAATATTAGACACAAAGCTATGTCAACGTAAAATAAGCCCTTCTTAACCATGAAACAGTATCAACTCCAATAACATCAGGTCAGAGCACACTCAGATCCGCAGAAAGAGTGCTAATGTTCACTTCTGATATGCAAGAAAGTGTAATGCAGAAAACTGTTTTTGTTTTTCTTTTCAAATATGAGGTTTCAAGCATACTGCTATTATCGCTTGCCCTACTGGATCTCCACGCTGGCGTACCAGCGTGCCGGCAGAAACACGTCTGGTCACACCGCTGACAAAAGTCTACTGCCAAAGGCAGGCAGTACTGTCCTGTACAAGATGGATTTCTCTTCTTTCAAAAAAGGACTGTTTGACAAGTAGCTATCGTGGACGGAAATTGAAGCTAACACATTTTTGCTGTGTTATCTTGATGGAATTGCTTTTTAGCTCCCCACACTCAAGTACTAATATATTTCTCTCCTCATATTTGAAACGGAACATTCTGACAAAGGATAAAGATCTGGAAGTGTAAACACTATACTTGCCAAGAGTTAAAAAAAAAAAAAAATCCTCCTACCTTCTTCTACTTTGGGTTGCATTAGCTCATAAATAGGCTGAAAATCTTGGGACACATCAAATTTCTCTGTTTAAAACAAGTAACAAGTAACAAAAAAGTACACAAGTACTAAAAGCCTAAACAAGTACAAAAGATAATAGTACAGATGTACAGACATTCTAATTAAAACATCTGAGGGGCGCCTGGGTGGCTCAGAGGGTTAAGCCTCTGCCTTCGGCTCAGGTCATGATCTCAGGGTCCTGGGATCGAGCCCCACATCGGGCTCTCTGCTCAGCGAGAAGCCTGCTTCTTCCTCTCTCTCTGCCTGCCTCTCTGCCTACTTGTGTCTCTCTGTGTGTGTGTCAAATAAATAAATAAAATCTTTTTTAAAAAATCTGAAAAGTCACTCTTATTTAAAAGTTTTTATTTAAAAACTCAGTGATACCAGATTACAGTGTGACCCTACCTAGTAAGAACAGTTGCGACTAAGTGTTCTATTTGTGAGTGTCAAGCAGCAGTAAAATAGACCTTTCTTGATAGTATCTACTGTATCAGTGATATTCGATATTGAGAAGGAAATAACACAGCTACAATTAAGAAACGTTTGCAGAGCAGCTTCCTGCCACAGATAACAGACATTCTTTCCTAAATGGCGACGTAAACCATATAAGAAACAGGGACTCTAACTGCTACAAAACGCTTAGAACGTGGCTGCCCTGATCTGCCAGCACACAGTTTCACATTTTTTTAAGCAGGCTCCACACCCAGCACGGAGCCCCACACCAGGCTCGAATTCACGACCCGCGAGATCATGACCTGAGCGGAGATGAAGAGTCACGGATGCTGAACCGACGGGGCCGCCCAGGGGCCCATCTGCCCGCGGATCGTCTCAACAGCCCAAGGAACCCTTTCCAACCAGAGCGACGTGGACACAATAATGACGTTGTGTGTAAAAAGCTCACAGGTTGGAAAATACTGCAGAACTTCAAGTTACCGCATTACTCTCAGTGAGTCAATCCGAAGTACTCAGAATGGAAACGGACATGCAAAGGCGTGTGACTTCGAGATAAGAATGCGTTTTGTGGAAAATTCTGACCGAAAGAGAAAAGAAGCAGCTATTAAGCCCATCTAGTAAAGCGCACTTCTGGTCTCCCGCAGCTGACGCGGAACACAGCGCGGCTAGCGAGCTCAGACGCGTCCCACGACGCGGGCTCCTGCTGGCTGCCTCCGACCTACGCGCATTCCCACTCGCAGGCCACGCAACGCCCGTCTCGGCTGCAGGTAAAGGCCACAGAGCTAAGCGTGGAGTCCAGAGACCGAGATTTTAGGAGCCCAAGAAGCACCCAGCCTGCCCGCCTTATAAATCACCCACCCAGCCTGATCATTTATAAAGAGTCCAAGACGATCAGACACCACGTGCTGATTCGTCAGCCTTAATCGCCAAATCACCAAACACAGGTACGGATTTAACCTCTCCAGCACAAAAGAGGGGGAGGGGGAGTTTTCAACATCTGAACAGTCCGGAAACATGTATGTACATATCAGCACTGTGGAGTCCGTTGGGTTTCCACCCATTCATGCTCTAAGGATCACTTTGAAATACCATTAAGTGTGCTGCGCTAGACCTCGTGTGCGGCTCAGACAAGAGGGAGGAATCCAGCTGAGGAGAAAAGCAGCGAAGATAAAACCAAAGAAATGATGTGTGTTTATCGATACAAAACCCAAGGAGAAAGACGGGGACGGCGATCTGCCCCTGGGGAAGGCTTCAGACCTGAAGTGCTCATGACACCGAGCCCGCGGGTCACAAAGAACTTCCGCGAGTCACAAAGAACTTCTGCAGGTCAAAGACATGGAAAGAAAGGGTGACCCAGGCTCTGGGGAGGGAACCCAAGACTCAAGAAGTGGTGCGCCCACTGGCAGGAAGTACGGCCTTCTGAGGCCGGACAGAGAAGGGTGAAGTAAGTGCCGGGCAAAGGAGAGAGAGGAGGGATGTTCAAAATGCAGATTCTCAAATCCCACTAGGAATAAGAAACTGATTTTTGAAGGTCCTGCGGGTCTTCCCATTATCTGTTGTGTTTGGGTAAAGTGTCGAGAACTGCGGGGCCAAAGCGAGAGGACAGGAAGGGGGACTGCTACAAGAGAACAACAGAGGCAGAACTAACAGAAAATACCAACTATCGAGATATGGGGTTAATGGAAAAGAAGAATCAGAAGGTGACGTGAGGTCTGAAAGAATAGGAAAATAAGTACGACGTAAGAGAAGACATAAGAAAGGGCAAACATGGGCTCCTGGGTGGCTCAGTCAGTTAAAGCGTCTGCCTTCCGCTCAGGTCATGATCTCCCGGTCCTGAGATCGAGTCCCACCCAGGCTCCCTGCTTAGCGGGAAGTCTGCCTCTCTCTCTTTCTTCTGTTTCCCCAGCTCTCTCTGTGTCAAGTAACTAAATAAATTCTTTTAAAATAAAATCGAAAAACAAAAGAAAGAAAGGGCAAATGTTGGCAGAGAAAGCCAAAATCTGGACATTCTGAGGTTGCATTCCCTACTAGGTAGGAAATTTGGTCTTAGAAAGTCAAGAAAATTAACCTCATATTTGAACATATACAATATTTGCTGGCACATCTTCTAGGGCTGCTACGAGCTGGCTACTTTGTAACGTTTTATTAATTAACTTCTGGACTGTGTCTCTGTCTCCTTAAATACGTGAAGTGCAAATTATACATATAAGGCAGAGTGCTACAAACTTAAGAGGAACTCAACAAATATTTACTGAATAATGAAAGTAGAAGGCTAAACAAAGGTTGAAGGTTTTCTTCTTTTTTTATGATTATTATTTTAAAAAGAAAAGGAAAAAAAACCCTCTTCTCCACTTCTTTTCTCTCTCTCGCTCTTTTAAAGATGTCACAGTTCTTACCTTTGCTGCCAAAGCTTTTAAGCTATCGAGGAATCTCTGCCAGAAATCCTTGAAGAGTGGGCGGTCGATTTTCTTCAGGCGATCTTCGGTGCTGGCATCCACACTGACATACAGCTGGGTAACTGGTTTGAGGTTCCTTTGTAATTTAAAAAAACAAAAAACAGGGGAAAAATCATGCCTGTATCAGGCTTTTCATGATGTCGAATTTACAGCCTACAGGACATGGGGTAATAAAACATCGCACAGGTCTACAGGCTTCTGCCTCTCCCGAAGGACAAAAGAAACGATTTTCATAACGTGACAGAATGGGCTGTCCGTTGATTATGTCTAACAATGACCGGACGCCACTCTTAAGAAACTGAAAGCATTCAATTACTTAAAATTGGCCCTCTTCAAACACTAGCTTTTAGTGGAAAACAAACAAAGTGAGATCCAGCTTCAGGTCAGGCACCATGAGCCCAGGGCAATTAGAAGGGGTCTCAGACTTGGGTTTCGCCATGAACCCTGCCACTCAAGCTTTATACAGCGGAAACGCCGCAGCCGTGTGGGGTCTGTGCTGACAGGCCACCTCCCGTCCTCAATTCACTGAGGAAGAAGTTTTCGAAGGACCAAGAAACAACCCAAAAAGCTCAAACCCTTTTTGAGCCTCACCTATGCCTTGGAGAGCCAGAGTGGGTTCAAAGTTCAGCCTTGTGGAGGCGAGCGATGACCTAGTCAGGGAGCTTTAAGCAGTGTGGAGCCAAAAGAGCGACCAAGCCTTATAAAGGACCAGACCCCCAAGAAGAATATGTGCGGCAGGTTAGGCTTCTGTGCCTTCTTGATCAGTCTCCTGACCACCACTCACTCCCCACTACTCAACCTCATGGACTCGTTTCATTAAAGTCATTCATTCTTATCTAGTCTACTTGGTAGTTAAAGTCCAGACTCCATGCTTTCCAAAACCTTCCTGTTCTCCCTTCAAATGGGTCCCACAGGGGCTCCTGGGTGGCTCAGCTGGTTAGGCATCTGCCTTCGGCTCAGGTCATGATCCCAGAGTTCCGAGATCAAGCCCCACATGGGGCTCCCCACTCAGTGAGGAGTCTGCTTCGCCCTCTGACCGCCCCCTCCTGTGCTTTCTCTCTCTCTCACTCTTTCTAATAAATTAAAACAAAAAGCAAAAGAGTGTCATAATTCATCTTCTTCGATAAATTTGCAACTAGAAAGAAATTTCCCTTTAATAATGCTTTGACCAAATTCTTCACTATTAGCTTTCCAGAATTTGTATTTACCCCCAGAATTTACTTATGCATTTTTTGCTTCCAAGTCTATGCACTTTTAAAAACTGAAATATAATTCACATGCCATAAAATTCACCACCGAAGTGGTTTATGTTTTTGTATCTATCAGTATCAGCCTAATCAGTCTCTGAATGTTAAGACCTCGAAGGGCAAGAACCGTATTTTTTTTAGCCCAGCCATGCAGGCAGGTCCGTGAAGCTACTTTTTACTCGATGTTGTTGACTTGAGCTAACCTAACTTTTTAGGGCGGCAGGCCAAACCAATGCTTATAATGGTCTGCTTAGTGGCATGTGGAAAAATCAGAAGGGCCTGAGCCCAAAGTTATTAAGAGCGGAGAAGCTCTGACCGAAGTTAAGAAGTGATTAAAATACTGGCAGACTCACTGCTTTACTCTGTCTCCAGCACTGGCATACACAGGGGACCCTTAGAAGTTTAACCCTGTGTCACGACTGAGCAAAGGACATCAATTACGGAAAACGAAAATCAGGAGTGCCCTGTTAATGGCACATTTGGTCTCATCACCCCTCTTGCTGGGAGCCTCCTTAGTAACAGACAAGCTACGCTACCTTAACTGGACTTTATGTCGCACAGAAAATAGAAGAGACTGTTTTAACGGACACTGCTGGCCATCACTATCTGATACTTACAGGACTTTGTCATAAAGCTGCCTAATGCAAAGTGGGAACCAGCGTGACCTTTCACTACGCCTTCATAACTACTTAGGATTATGAACAGTAACTTCCAAAGGCCACAGTTATTTTACAAACTTCCCTCACTTGCAAAAAAGGAAGCCCTAGACACTAACAGTACCAGTAAGAAATTTTAGTCGGTACTAAAATCTGAGATGCTATGATGAAGGAAGTTTGTACATCTCTTACCAAAGAGCAGAGGAAGCATGAAGAGGAGTTAAAGTCCCTGGGAATTACAGGGCTTATTCCTAAGGGACTCAAAACATGAAAAGTACCTTGGAGAAATATTCTGAGCCTCAAGGATCTTACATCTGCCTCGGATTGGCCTCTATTCCCGAGGACAAGCAAGAGGTTCTCGGCACGGCCATTTATCCATCACTATTCTATACAGAGATTGCATCATTTTTGTTCCCAAAATGCAAGAGAATGCTATAACCTTAAAATAATGATAATAATTTGTGTGTGACAGTCTCACAATGCTGTTGAGAACAATTAAAAAGGACAATAAAATAAAAGGGAAATACAATCCTAAACCCCATCGCCAGTGAAAATACCCAGTGAATCTTGGTAAGATTATTATGACGATCCTTCATCCTGCTCATTTAAATCTGAACTAAGAACAATCATAAATACAAATGCGCTGACAACTGGACATAAAAATCCCTCTTCCTTGTTTGCCTTTCCATAGAGATTAGCAGGCCACTGGCTTGGAAGGTAGAATGAGAACCAATCTCTACAGCAAGGAAAAAAGGAAGAGATTTAAGTTTGCAAGAAATCAAACAGCTTAGAGAGTAAGTTTGACGTTCCTACTGAACAAAACATTAAAAAAAAATAACCCAAGTGGTCTAAACATCGACAGCATTAAAACCAGAATCTGGGCTGTTAGTTGCGGACGAATTATGCAGGAGGAGAAGAGGAGGAGGACAAAGGGGAAGGATTTACCGAGTATTCATCAGGCGCTGGGTGCTCTGTGCTTCACCCTTCTCTTTAGTTCATGAAACCTTCACAGTAAAACAACACAGTAGTCGCTACTTCTACCAAGTTTAGACACGATGAAACTGAGACTCAAAAGGCTAAGTAGCTTGTTCGAGAATCCACAAGTATCAACACTGACACCCAAGCTGAGATGGGACCCCAGAGCCTGCTCCCCCAGCCCCGCACCACAATGCCTCCCTCAGACGGTCAGTTCACAGACAGTACTGGCTGGCCCTTTGTCAAGGAAAGCCTCACAGCAGTGTTTCTCCAAGTGTGGTCAGGACCACCCGTATCAGAAGCACCTGCAAACTCGCATTCTGGGGCCTCTCTCAAGACTGAATCATCTTCTAGGAATGGAGTCTTAGAAAGTGTATTGTATTAGTTTCAAGAACTTCCCCACATTGATCAAGTAAGTTGAAAACACAAATAAATGGGAAGATATCCCATGTTCATGGATCAGAAGAATTAATATGGTGATAATGAAAATGTCTGTTAACACCCAAAGCCATCTATAGATTCAGGGCAATCCCTACTAAATTCCAATGACCCTTTTCACAGAAAGAGGAAAAACAATCCTAAACTTCCTACAGAACCACAAAAGACTCCGGATAGCCAGAGCAATCCTAATGAAAATAAAAAAAACAAAGCAGGAAGCATTGTACTTCCTGATCTGAAACTACAGCACAGAGATACAGTAATAAAAAAGTATGATGTTAACACTCACATGAAAACATGAATGACATTAAAGCAAACAGACAAATGGAACAGAATCAGGAATCCCGAGATAAACCCATGTGTATATATAGTCAACAACGAGGGAGCCAAGATCACTCAATGTGGAAAGGGCAGTCTCTTCATCAAATGGTGCTGGGAAAACTGGATATTCACATACAAAAAATGAAACTGGATCCCTGTATCACTCACAAAAGCTAAGTCAAAATGGAGTAAAGACTTAAATATAAGACCCCAAACTGTAAAATTCCTAGAAGAAAACACAGGGAAAAGGTCTTTCACCTTGGTCTTGGCAACGGTTTTTGGATATGACACCAAAAGTGCAGGCAACAACAACAACAACAAAAAAAAAAACAAGTGAACTGCACCAAATTAAAGAGCTTCTGCACAAGGTCAGAGAGGCAACCTCCAGAATGGAAGAAAATCTTCACAAATCTTATGTCTGAATCAGGTTTCATATCCAAAATATATAAGGAACTCCTACAACTGAAAAGCAAAAAACCTAATCTGATATTTAAAAATGGGCAAAGGACTAGCATGGACATTTTTCCAAAGAAGACATGCAAGTGGCCAACAGGTGCTTGAAAAGGACCTCAACGTCGCTCATAAGCAAGGAGATGTCAATCCAAGTACCAGCCCCGTGGGGAATGGCTCTTCTCGAGAAGACAAGAGATGACATGAGCGACAAGGACACACAGAGGAAAGGGAACCCTGTGCACTGCTGGTGGGAATGTAAATTGGTACAGTCACTATGGAGGCTCCTCAAAAACACTAAAAACAGAACTACTATATGATGCAACAATCCCACTTCTGGGTGTTTATCCAAAAGAACGAAATCAGTATCTTGAAAAGATATCTGCATCCCCACGTGCACTGCAGTGTTATTCACAATAGCTGAGACATGGACAAGTGTCTATCACCAGATGAATGGATAAAGAAAATGCCACATTATTCAGCCATGAGGAAAAAGGAAATTCTGTCATTTGCAACATGACGGATGAACCTGGAGGACATTATGCAAAGTGAGATGAGCCAAATATGGAAAGACAAATGCTGCATGAACTTACCTGTATGTGGAATCTTTAAAAAGAAAAAGAAAGAAGACATTTTCGATTAGCTGTTTTCTTCCCTGTGTATGGGCCACACACTCACTTCTTTGTCTATTTCATGATTTTTTAAATAAACATTTAACATTTTATATAATATTATGCATGACTCTGGGTATCAGATACCTCCCAATGCAGGGTTGCTGTTTTTTATTTGTTTGTCGCTGTTTTTCTTGTTACTGAACTACTCTGGTAAATTCTGTAATTCTTCCTTGCGTTTAGCCTGCTTGGTTAGCTTAGTAGTCTGCTAGTGACTGGCCAGAAACAGCCCTAAGCGCCTTCAACCAGTAAGGCTCCCACCTCCACTGAGGCTTCCGCGTGTCGGGGCAAGTGGAGGCGGACGGCTGACAACTCTGC